ATTTTGATTTATATTATTCATTGAATGTTTCAAAAATATGGTTTAATATTAGAAATAAAGAAAAAAAACCCTATCTAAGTAATAGTTATTGAAAAACATGACTCATTTTTGCAAAAAAAATATGAAAAATAGATTATTGAAGATTGATTCAAGATAATTTGATCAAATGAGTCAAGGTTCTAAATTTTTGGATAGATAGTAAGCAATACTATTGGAAACATTATAAAGAACTATTAAATCAGTTTTATGTTAAGTTCATTATGAAATATGATGACAGATCAATTATGATTTGAGGTTACTTTACCTTTTATGATGTTAGTAACTATTGTAAGTAGAACTGCAAACATTTATAAGATCCAAGTTAGTATGTCACTCTTTACATTATATAAAATTTATATTAATCATATTAAACATCACATCACATACATCATATCAAATATCATAGTATATATTCATTAAAATTCTAATGTTTGTAACTCTAATTGTAAGATTGATGGTATGATAAATATGGATCTGTATCTAAAAATACTCTGTGAAGATTGATATGAATGTTTGAAGATCATAGATTTAAAACCAGTAAAGTTGCTTTTCAACAAGATAGAGCATCTTATCATATGACAACCTTAATTAAATATTGACTTACAAGAAAGAAGATAAAGTTTTTTGACTGGCTTCCCCAATCAACCAATTTAAACCTGATCAAACACTTATAGGATGAAGTTGATCATCACCTTAAGGACCTTCCTGATCAAATTTCAAGTAAAAAGGACCTTTGAGAAAAAATTCAGATGGTTTGATAGGCAATCAACATTGAAACCTGCATGAGGTTAATTCATTCAATGCCAGAATGAATCTGTAATATAATTAGCACCTGGGGCAGCTACACCAGCTGAAAATTATTAGAAAAAAAAAATTTTTTATTTTACAATCATGCTGCTGTTAAAACAAACAAAATAATGCAACACATATATTGAAATAAAGCTCATGCCTTTAAAAAATTTTGATCACTAAATTTTTAAATCTTTTTTATTAATGATAATATTGCTATTTGTGAATAAAATAAAAAAAAAAGTTAACAGATACGCCCGGAATTGCGTGAGATAATACGATCCAACTAATTTTTTTTTGGTTGCATTATTTATGATCGCCAGTGTATATACAAGTCAAACTCGTTATAGTGAAGTAATCTGTTCCATAGTAAAAATTTTTAAAAACTTCATCATATTGAGAGGTTATTACACTATATCGAGAGGATTTCTATATAAAATAACGAAAGTGACTTGTAATTGTTTGATATGAATTTATGTAATTTTAAAGTTACGTAACATTTTATATAAATTTATGTTGATTTTGCGTAGTATTGCCGGGAATCCGTAGAATACATAAAATATTCGTGAAAAACTATATAAAGTTATATAAACTCGTGTAAATTTTTATCTAACAAATTTGTAGAAAAAAGTTCGTGATATTACTCGATTTACCTTATTCTAAACTCATCTGTATGTACTGTATATATTAAATACAAAAAAAAATCAATATTTAATCTAATACTTTATCAAGAATCACGTTATATTTATTTTGATCATTATACAGTATTTAAATGAGTATGATTTTTAATCAATCAAAAAGAAATTCAAAATGCAAATAAACAATTTATAAGAAATTCTATTTACTTCTAAGTCATCAAAATTAAAAATCCATTTAAGTTGATCTAAACCACAATCATATCTTAGATTTGTGTGAAGTAAATATAACAATAATAAATTTATAACATAGTCAGTTCTATTTTTATTAAGAGTCGACTAAGCGATTTTTCAAAAAATCGATCGATTAGCCGGCTAAGTCGACTAAGCTGACTAACCTCGAGTCAGAAACCCACTGGAAGTTAAATTAATAATGGAGCTTTTATGTACTACTGCAAATTCTTAATGGAAGATTAAAAAACCTCAAAATTCTTGCAACAAAAATTCCTTAGATGAAGACGAATCACGTTTGAACATTCACATAGTTTGTTTTCAACCGTTATATTGTATAGATAGTATAAGTGCAGTGTTCAATTGCTTTGTCGCGAAAACTCTTTTTTTTTAATGGAGATTGAGTTTGAAGCTGGTTTTAATTTTCATACACTAAAATCGAATGAACCGGTTACAAATTCTGGATAAATTTAACTTTTGCATACATAACCTTTTCAAAAAAAAAAAAAACAACCATTTTTTTTTTTTATTCAATTAAATGTCATTTGCATAACTAATAAAGTTTATGCCAATAATATTATACAATAAATTCGATTCGTATTGAAAATAAAAATATTCAATCAAAAATTTTTCTTACAAATAATCACCAAAAAAAAAAAGATTTGGATTGTTTGGATTGTTTTGATTGTTCAGATTGTTCTTTTGGTAAAAGAAAAATAATTAAACAAATCACATTTGAACAGTGAAAAAATTATGAGACATTTTCCAGCCTTAATACAAAATATGAATGCACCACACGTTACTTCCTTATTATCTGAAAAACTTCATATTCAAGTACCCAGAATTTGCTCAATGTGGTAACTCTATCAGTGTAATCATCTTTATCGCTGGAACAACTATCATAAGCATTAAAATTATTTTTCATCCATAAATCTTTATCGCCAAAACAGGGACCATGAGTTTTATCTTTGATCCTAATAGCATATCCTGGCCTACTAACTCTGCTCAACTTGGCGTCATTTAAATTACCTTGTTTCGGAAAACTAAATAAAAAGCTATTTTGCGTTGTTAATCTAATGTCGCCAGTTGTCCATTCTATAGGATTATATCCGCCTACTAATTCACCAGAATATGCTATTTGCATTACAACTATAGTAGCACCTTTATTATCACATTTTTCATGAAAAGTTTCAGCTTCAAAGCCATCACGACTTCCGCGAATTAGAAGTTTAAATTTATAGGGAATCTCTTCAAATGCGTAGGGTTTACCGTCTTTACGATCTATCCAATCACAAAGTTTAGCTACTTGTTCAGCTTTGATCAAAGTTGAGTCAAATGGAATGATTCTTGGCGGTAATGCATATTTTGGTATTAGTGATAGGGACGACAAGCCATTGGAGCTGTTAATAGCCGAATTTCTTTTGAAATGATAGCGAATAATATCCTCTTTAAGATTTTCGGGTAATATCTTATTAAAAGGCCAAACTTTATCATAAAAATCACATGAAGAAATTTGAAAAAATCTAATCAAAGGAATGCAATTGTGTAATATACGTTCTAATTCCACAAAATCTTCATCGGTCCAATTCGCTATTTCGAAAATAGTGTGACTGACATTAGTGTTTTTTATAGTCGCATTATTATTGTTTGATGACGACATGGTTATTAGTAAATTGGAGGATGTTGATGGAGAGGTAGGCATTTGCGTAAGTCCCCATTGCACTAAATGATCCCAAATTTCAATCTCATCAGTTTGTAAATCATCCCTGCTTAATAAAGGTAATAGAAGTGCCTCTTCAAACGATGGAAAATCTTTTGACTCAAATACAAGTAAAGGATTTTTACAAATTGTTTCCAGACAGAAACTTTGTAATTTTTTACATCCATCATAAGGATAAATTGTACGATGTACTTTGACAACGTTCCTTTTTACCCAGTCTGATTTCGTTGAAAGTAAATAATCTTGTACATGTTCAAAAAGTTCTGAAAGTAATAATTCGTCTGATGCGATTAATAAATCTAGAATATCTGTATTGTCATGATTTCCTAAATTTATTGAGCCACTATATATATACCTGTGTAATGACAAAAAAAGAATATTAAAGGATATTCATTAAAATAAGTTATTGAGTCAGTTACTATATTAAAAATACAACTTACTTGAGGATAAGTTCAAACACTACTGGAGAAACATTAGGTTTATTAAAAACAGTAGAATCACCTTCTTTCCTGGCCCATTTATTTGCCAAAGCTGTTCGGAAATATGGTGATCTAGCTCTTAAAATTACCGAATGTGCATGAAAAGTTTTTTCATTTGAATTTTCTCCTACTTTAATTATAACGTTATAGTCATCAGAATCGTCAAGAAGTTGTCCGAAATCTCGTGAAAGTCCACTAAAAAATTCAGAAGACATTTTATTAATCGTTCCTTTTAACTTTAGCTTTTTATTAGTATTCAAATTATTTAAAACGAGGATGATGATTCAAAGTAAGACAAAATTGAAAAAAAATTTAAATATGGGATTTTATAGTATCACTAAAAGAGTGTTTATTAATCGCCACAAGAGAAGAGAAAAGGATGTCTAAAAAACAGTAATGATTGGCGTATAAGTATTTATATTTATTCATGTTAAAAAATATGTACGTAACGTATGTACGCCATCCAATCATTGTTTGCTTATTTAGTTTAAAAAATTAATGAATATCGTCTTTCCTTTTTAATTTATGCATAACATAAAAATCACTTATGCTACGTATTCATAATGTTCAAAGTAGGGCCCATTACTCCTAATGTCTGACAAATTCAATCATAATTTTGAACCCATAATTACGTATACCAGAACCAATAGGAATTTAGAGTTAAATAAGACAAATGACATAAAAAATATAAATAGTATAACTCGGCATGATCTATTTTACGCCAATTGAGATTTATACATCAAATATACAGGTCTAACCAGTTAGAAATGTACCTGTGTATCCTACTAAAAATGGTTAGACGCTTTCATCTTAAATCCCTTGCTTGGTTTTTAAACGATTTTTTTTTTTGCCACACAAATTTGTCCATACCATAGATTATCTTTGATCTTGAAAATACAGGATGAGGCTAGTTTGAGCAAGTAATCGTTATGATAATGGACACATTGATTTTTTGTTAGTATCAAAGGTAATAAAATGCTTAAAGGGTACAAATAATAATTCTTGTCGGTATCTATTATATGTTTATATTACTCACATGCAGAGATAAAAGAGACGTCTTGTTCTTTAATCATCATGATTCAATGAACTTAATAAATTGCAAAATAATCCAACCTTATCAGCTTATCATCGTATCGGTATATCTTCGGTTTCGTGTTTACGTGAAAGCCTTTAACATTCTTGAATGAGGCTTGAAGGATGTTATAAATGGCTATGAACTTTGTTCAAAATTATTTGTCTATATTCTCGGAAAGATTTTTTAGTTTCCTAAATAGTAAACTTGTCTTTACCACTCCATTTACCATTTTCCGTGATAATCTGATCTATTTTTTCCATCTTTAATACCTATAGCGAAGTTAGTAAAAAATGGTTGGATCTAGATCTTTTTTAAAGTTCAGTTCTCATGAAATCAATATGTAAATTCTATAAGAATACGTATTTACAGAATTATTTATAATGTAACCAAAAACGATATCGTAACACAAATTGGTGCATTTTATGCGGATAAAAAATCGCCCCTTAGGTTTGAACTAAATTACGCTGATCGTTGTGATTGGCCGAAGTTATCGAGAATGGTATTTAATGTCGGCTGAATTAGTGGTTAAACACAGTTAACTAGTTAAGAAATTTTTATTCGGATTTAATCCCCATTTATGGGTCGATTTTTATAACGAAAGTGGCTAACTTTCGAAACAGAATTGATTAAATATATTTGGCATTACTAAAAGTATAACTTATGTTTCATGATTTTTTTTTTCATGTTTGCGTTTTATTAAATTTATAGAACAGAAAAAAAAAGGATCAAAAAAGCTAGAAAGCTAAACGAATTTAAGTTTGATGTATTGGTAGGTAATTTGAATGGAGTTGGGTCAAAATCCCGACAAGTCATAATCCTGACTAGGGTTGGATATCAAAAATTACATGCAATCATGTGAGCATAGGTTTATAATGCTGGCTTTAAAAATTACAATTCCGAACATAATGATGGATATCTATCAGTGCTGACTAAACTTTGTAATGTCGGTAAAATTATTGTAAAGTTACATTACAATTTCATAAGTTACAATGTAATTTACATAATACATCCCTGACCATGGCAAACCCTACCTTAACCCTCATCTAAATGACCTAACCCTTTAGTTAATTAAATTATGGGAGTCTATTTGCTTTAAACATATCGCATACTTGGGATTTTCTGCCTAAAAATTCTAACCTCCCTAGTGTCGCCCAAAAAATCAGTTACATACCGGAATTTAAAGTTAAACAGCACTTAATAACTCAAATAGGATACTAATGACTTATCGATAGGGTTCAGGGCATGGGAAAAAAATTAGGCATGCCCATATGGGCATGCCTTTTTTAAATCATATGATTAACACATAGTTTAATAATCTTATATGTTGATTTAGTATCTACAGTTCTAGTTTATCTGAACTTATTAGCCAGTTAAAATAACTTTAAACATCACATGACAAGGGCATGCCCTTTGGACTTGAGGCATGCCCATAGGCATGCCCCATGCCCCTGTGCCCTGAACTCTACTTATCGATAAATAAATATATATATTGCAATGAAGCAATATACAAATTGCATTTTAAATTCTTTTCGCTATACATACATATATTGTATATATATCTTTAATAAAAAATATACAAGCGTCTAAGTTAATTTTCTTAATAAATAATTATTTTGACAATTAGTCTGCCAAAATCAGTTTTCTATAGTTTGGCGAAACTAATTTTTATAAGTGATGAAATTATTGAGGCTATTTGAATTATTAGATAAATACATTAATGTAATTATCTGTAAAAGTTCATGTAAAAAATATGGCAACAGCGAATTTTTGCAAAATTATCTTTTTTCAGAAATAATTTAGACATCCTTGTATATCATTGTGTACTGTCCTTCTCGAAGTTTTCTTTAATAGCTTAATCATGTTTAACTATTTTCTTCATTAGGAAAAAGTTTCAAAATTTTCAATAAACTTTATTGCTTATAAATTATTTTTATTAATATGCAAAAAATATAATCAATGCTTTTTATGATGAAGAAAAAAAACGTTCATTATAGAAAATTACTATGTTTTCTTAAGGATCTATGACACTTCTATATAAAATTATTAGGAAATTTTAAAATTCTAAATTAGTGTATATTCAGAGTTTATACATAGAGATTAATTATATCCAAAGTTGATTGTATAAATAACTTGTATAATAATAAATAGTACCTTTACTAGTATTTTTTTTAATTTAATAACTTTATCATTTGTAACTTCGATATTACTAACACTTGTCTATTTACATTTAAATCTATTCTAGCTTCTTTATAATCACAATATTTCATTTTATAATTAGATAATATGATGAGTATATAGTTTGTTATAAAGAAATAAATGTTTATTATTTTGCTAAATCTGATTAATATATTGAAAAAAGAGTTGTTTCTAATAATAGTAAAACTAAATGTTTGTTAAGAGCAATTAATTTTTAAAAAATGTACAACCATCAATAATGTTTTTTTCAAAATCAAATAAAGTAAAATTTTTTTTTATATATTTGTTTTTTATATTCTTTAATCTATATTAAACATTTAAATAAAGTTTTTTTTATAATGTTTTTGATTTTAGCTTAATTTATAATATAAAAAGATAAAAAAAATCAATAGTTTTATTATTTATTATAATTTAAAAAATTTTTTTTTTTTTTTTTAACATTAAGCAGTTATACTAGTATTTTATTAAGATTTTTGAAACTATATATATATACAATTATATAAAATTTACAAATATCTAAGTCTAGCATTACTTGGTCACCCTACTGGTATTTAAATGCAATTTGTCACATTATTTTAGTTAGAAAAAAACTGCTTGTTTAATTACTTAAAGTTATATTAGAAGAGTTTCTTCTTTTTTGTAACAAGCATATTGATTGTTTTTTAAACTTCTTCTTTATTCAATTTGTCTTTTCTATTTTTTTTTTCTTCTTTTGCTTATTTATTTTTCTTTTTTATTTTTTTTTATTTTTTTTTTGCACAAGTATTTTTTTTATTTTAATTGTTATATTAATTTTATTTTTTTAATTTTGTACCTTTTATATCAGACTCTTTATACTTGGTTATAAAAGATGTTCTATATTATTTTTGTTATTATATCTATGTATTTTTGTATTGTTTGTTTGTTTAAAAGCTGTTTAAGACTTTTTCTTACTTCTATCCTAGTAAACTCTTTTATTAACACTTTCTGTTTATAATTTCTTTTGTTTTTGTTTCTTCAAATAGCACTTTATATATACTTATAATAAAATTCTATCTTTTTTTTTTTTTTTTTTTTTTATAGTTAAAGTTTCTATCTTGAGAATACAATATTTTATTCAAGTTTTGTTAGGAAATGGGTGCCTCCAAGGGCTCTCTTACATTGAAGATTACAACTAGTCACATGTGCACTTTTGGTGCCTAATTTAAGTAGTCCGCTTACATATTGCTATATAAGTTCTACACTAGTTGTCATACCTGCAAGCCAACTAAAGGCCTTGTCTATTTAAACCCTCTGCATATGCAATTCTCCTTGTATTATGAAAACATTTCAAAACTACACTCATCCAAGTTCCCAATGCTTATCATTACTCTTAGGACTACTTTATCTTTGATAGGAAACTTACTAGAGCCTTTATGTCTCACACATATAGACCTAGTTTTATGCAATATGCTATAGTTATCTAATACTTGCAATTATAAGGATTATCTGTTTAACTGTTATGTTATACTATTTTTTACTCTTGTAAAGTTCACTAGAACCCCAATACTTATCTTCTTGGCATCTTCTCTATCATCTTTTACTAGCTGCAACTCAGAACCATCAGTCTTATTCCAGACTACTAATCTAGATGACCTAGTATGATATACTTATATATCTTTTTCCTTTGACAAATCCAGTGGCCTGGTTGGTTATATGCTTCTCTACACATATTTGATGTTCAGTTTTAATCTTTGGCTTCTATGAAGGTGTTTCATAGTCTTTAATCAGGCCAATGATATCATCAAAAGTTCATGCTATCTCTTTACTTAGAGATTTCCAAATAGGGTTTTGTCATCTCAGTTCTTTAGTCTTCTACGCCTGATGGTCTTATTGTGAGTTTGTACCAAAGTTTTATGCAACAGTAAACATTTCTCTATGTATATGTAATATTACACTTTGTATAGATGCCTGAGCTTCTAATGTTAAGAGGACCCAACTTGGTGTACCTGAGTAACAGCCACATAAGGCCAACTGATCGATAAAAAACAGTTACTATAATACAGATATAATTTCCAAATTTCATCATAGATGGAATTTGAACCTTAGACCTGCTACTTGGAGAATGACAACCCAACCACTATACTAGGATCGCTATTCTCTCTTTTCTTTTTCTTTAAGCTCATTCTATACTATTATGGTTATTACTTTTTAGATCTGTTTTTACAAATTTGTTTGCCTACTACAACTTGCTAAATGCATTCAAGTTTCTTTTTTCTCATCTTGACATATCTGACATTTTGTAATTGTATATATTTCTGAATTTCTTTAATTTAGTTTTTTAAATATTAGTAAGCTTTTTATTATATATGTAATTGCTATAATTCTTTTTGTATTGAGTTTTTTCAATATATAATAAATTTCTCTTATTTTATTTATTTCTTTTCAAAAAGTTAATTAATCATGTAATATATTTTTTGTTTTTTAGTTCTAGTGTTCTTATTGTGTTCATTTTTCTTCAACTAGCTCTAATTTTGACATTTACTATTATATTATATAAAATTCTTATTAATATGACATTTTTCATATATTTCTATTCTAAATAATACTCTATTTTATTATAATTAATCTTTTTTGTATACATTATATTTTTATAAATTACTATTTTTTTTATAAAAAAGTTTACTCTATCATTTTACTCATCTTTATTGTGACTTTTATATAGGTTGATTTAAAAGTTTTGTCATATTATATAGTTATTTTTTATTTGTAAATTTATATTTTTAAAAATTATATATATGAATTATACAATAGTTATAATATATTTGTAAAAAAATTTTGAATTAATTTTAATCAAGTAGATATTAAGAAAAATTTTTTTAAGTTACTAAGTTAAAAACAATTAGAAATATACTAATATTTAAACTAAATTAATTTATAAAAATTAAAATTTTCTATATAATAAAAAACTTATTTTACAAAAATAATATTATAAAAAAAGGCAATTAGCGCAACTCTTCCTGACGATCACTTGTACTGAATTTCATACCAACAAAAACAGAAAACTTATTGGAGAAAGTAGAAGAGGCTACTATACAAATAATGG